CCGGGCAAGGTTCCGGGCAGCCCAAGCGCAAAAAAAAGAATAAAAAAAATACGAATGGCTTTTGGCTGAGGGTAGATTGGAATTCCCCACAGAATCGGAGATAAAAGAGAACATAACAGAATCACACCCCCCTTTAAAACCGTTCAGCCCTTAATTTTATAACCAATTTATACCCCCGTCCCCCAGCCTTGACAGCCAACTCACAAAAAAAGAAATGAGCCTGGATTTGGGGTCCTCCGGGAGAGCGCAGAGATTTTTGCACGCCCGGGTACCCCGGTGTCAGACCCCCTGGTGTCACACCTGGATGCCCGGCCGGGCATGGCCGGCTGGACGTGAGAATCTTCCTAGGTTGCTGGTGAATATGTAGCAGACAATGCAAGAAGAGGAAGTAGTTAGAAATAAAAAAATGGTGTTGCACTGGCACAACGATTAAAACTTAGGTATCGGGAAGTCAGGTGTTTTGGGGTAAAAAAAAAAGAAGGTGTTTTGACAGTTTTGGGATTTGGTGATGATAGCTTTGTGCTCGAGTCTGCGATCAGTGAAAGGACATCCAACCCTTGGCTGAATAGCTAAACTTGAAATCATGGCAGTGTGGGCTTTTCGGCTTTGGGTTCCCGATTGGGACGGTTCCCTTCTTCTATAGAGAAGGGGATGTTCTGGTTATCCTTCGGACATCCGGAAAAAAGGATGGGAACGACACAGAGACGATAAGCGCAGCCGCTGCACAAGGATTGATGGGCAGCGAGGATGAATAACCGGGCTTGTTGTTGTTGCAGCAAACAGCAGCGTTTTCTAAGGCGGTCATATAAACCAAAGAATGAAAACAGGTGTTGAAATAAAACAGGATCTCCTCCGCCTGCAGGACCAAAAAAAAGGTGTTATTAAAAATCAAAATTCCAGTCAATTCATAGCATAGTAATGGCACTGGCACCTGCTAATAGTGGAAGCGACAAATAAAAGCAGATATCGCGAAATGGTGAGAAATACACGAAAATGGAAAAATAAGGTTATCAAGTAATATCAACTTGTTATGGATGGGATGGGTCTTTCTGGCAAGGGTGTGGATGATCATCCCTCTGTTCTCTTACCTGATGAGGAAACGGTCTGTTTGCCTTTCGCTTAGCTTCCCTCTGTTCTCTTACCTGATGACGAAACGGCCTGTTTTCCTTCTGCTTGCAGGTCGCACGAGTTATGGGTGCTCTGTTCTACGAGTTTATGCCCAACTCCCCTGGCTGGTGGAAATGGATCAGTAGAAGTCTTGGGCTGTGTGTTATATTCTGTCTGTTACTTAGCATTAAAACATGCCTTGCCTTAGGACTCCAGTGGCACGCGAGGTGGTATTTGCAGTCGGCGGGGAAACGGGAAGGCCATTTTCATGCAGATTGACCTTGGACCTTCGACTGTGGTCTTCTTCTTCAAATCCTGTATAGAAAACATTCCCCCTGTTCTTTACGTCCAACAGAATTTACGGAGACCCTTCGCCGGTAGAAGACAATGGCACTTCGCATTCTAGGCTCCGACTCTGCTTGCAAACGCCGCCCGCCTTTCTGTCCTCCGCTTCACTGCTTCCTGTCTTCTCCCCTCGGTCGTCTGCTTTGTCTCTGCCTGCTTCCAAGGTTACTCTCTTGTGGGGTTTGCCTCTCCCTTCCCCTCCTTCCCCCGCACCTTCCCACCTTTCGCCGCCTCCCCCCCCTTTCTCACTTTCCTCTCTTTCTTCTCCTCTCTTTTCTGCGGTCTAGTGACGTGGAGTCAGTGGCCTGACTTGTTATTCTCCGCCCAATTCTCACTGTGAGGTTCCAATGCTCATCTCCTCGTCGTTTCAGTGATCTGGGATTTTAGTGAGACTGCATTATGACCGGCCTCCCCCTTTCTCACTTTCCTCTCTTTCTTCTCCTCTCTCTTCTGCGGTCTAGTGAGGTGGAGTCGGTGGCCTAACTCGTTATTCTCCGCCCCATTCTCACTGCGAGGTTCCAATGCTCATCTCCTCGTCGTTTCAGTGAGTCGGGATTTTATTGAGACTGCATTACGATCGGCAGCCGTTCGCTCATGTCAGAGAGCCTCTCTAATGAATCCCCTCCCAAATCCCTTTGTGAGGCGCTGCTATTGTTTCCACAATTCCCTTTGTGTGAGGCGCTGCTGTGTTGGTGTTGTTTCTCCAGGTTGTTTCAGGGAATTCGACTTAGTGGGATAGCATATTTACGGGCAGTTCTTGTGGCAGAGCATTGATTTCAGTTTTGGAGTTGTAGAGGAGCTTCGCTGGCAAGTGAGTGTTCGCATGAGATCGTACAGGTAGAGGCTAGAAAGATATACATACACAGATGGCGACCGTCCAAGACAGTTGCAATGAATACGAAAAAGGTGAAGGAGAAGAATCATTTCTCAGCAGCAACATTTCTTCGATGGTCTCCTTCCTGAAGGAGTTGCATCTGTGAGTCTTTAGGGGGGTAGGAAGAGGGGGGGGGGGGGGGGGGGGGGGGGGTGCCGCTAGGGGTGGAGGGGGGCTTCTGGCGGTGTTCATGACCTCCTTTGCAGCATACGAGTGCTCCCGAAGGCAAACTTGCTCAGGAGGGGGCTTGAGGGAGCTGTGCAAGGGGTAGAGGGGACCTCTGGCGGTGTTCGCGACTTCCTCCTTTGGAGCAAACAAGTGTTTTTTATGCCACTTGCTCATCGTTCTTCTATTGAGAAAACCCGAGGTTGATTTGATTTGTTCATACGGAAAGAAAGATAAAAAAGTTTAAAAAAGTAAAAAAAACAAAGTTGGTTTGTTGTTCTTGGGAACGGTTACTGAATTGATTCTTTGAGAGAATGCACTGTGTCTTAATTTGTTTTTTCAACTTTTTTCAAGTTTTTTGTGCAGCTCCTTTTTTTTTTTTTTTGATAATGGAAGGCATTTGTGATGGCAAAGGAGTGCATGAATGAAGGGGTGTGGGCAGAAGCTGAAGGCAAGGTGATGATTTTATATTATGAGAACGGTGTTGTTAGCTATTCCTTTTTGCAAATCGAGTTTAATTGACTCAATTGAGTTTAGACTGTGAGTTTATGGTGTGTGGTTCTAATCTTCCTTTTTGCTAATTGAGTTTAATTGACTCAATTAGACTGTGAGTTCAGTTTAGACTGTGAGTTTGATGGACTTAATTGAGTTTAGACTGTGAGTTTAGTTGACTTTGTGAGAAGCTGTCAGTTTCTGCACATGCGTGAGCAGTGAGCACTAAGAATTTAATTTGATTTGATTTTATATTTAAAATTTTAACATGTAATTCTTTGCAAATGTGTGAAGCACTATGGGTTGAGAATCTCAGAATGATTGCAATGTGAAATACAGCAGCTCTCTCTCTCTCTCTCTCTCTCTCTCTCTCTCTCTCTCTCTCTCTCTCTCTCTCTCTCTCTGTGTGTGTGTGTGTGTGTGTGTGTGTTTGTGTGTACAGTCGTCGAGAAATTCGTATCTCTTTCTACCACTCTCTCTCTCTCTCTCTCTCTCTCTCTC